GGGGGGCGAAATTCCTAAAGGGGGGCGATATTCCTAGGAGATTCGCCCCCTGGGGGGCGATATTCCTAGGAGATTCGCCCCGGGGGGGGCGAATATCCTAGGAATATCGCCCCCCTTTTGAGAGGGGGGCGAATCTCCTGGGGGGGGGGGGCGAATCTCCTGTGACACCGGGACAAGAATTGACCCGAGTGCCTCGCCTCTGTAGACAGGGACATTCGCCTAGCCGGGACAACTTTTCCTCATGTGAACACTTTGCCCCGGGGCAACTTTGTCCCGGGATAATTGAATTTTTGGTAAAACGATTAAAATCGCGGCTAAAATTACATTTAGAGCACGTTGGACTCCACAAAACTTGTTATTTGATTGAACATATCATTAGAAATCTATAAGTGATGATTCTAATAATATTAAAATAAAATTGCCGCTAATATCATGTTTGAAACCAAGAAGTGTAGTATGTTACTCAAGTAATTTGATCTGGTCAACCAGAAACAATGAATTGAGGACATTGTATTACGGCTGATAATCAACTACGTTCTATTTGTAAATATCATAACATAAAATACGACTTGCGTTTACCAGAATGTTTTTTATTTAGCAATATTTCACCGTTTCACGTTGGCGGGAATATTTTATGATTCCCGCGTAATGTATTTATAGGCATGACCCGCGCTAGCTTTGTTCATGTGAACAGAAGATATCAATACCCCGGGTCAATGACTTGTCGCGGGGCAGTTGTTTATCCCGGGTCATGTGAACAGGGCCTAAGTTTTTATAAGAAACTGGAAACCCACATATTTTTTTTTGGCCTCATGAGAATGCAAGCATACAAGTACACAGGGAGGGACACAGCTAGATCAGCTAAAGGGACAACCAAGAGTATGCATGCCGATTGAGTTTTGGTCATATTTCAGGGTGCAAACTGTTGACCATACAAGTGTGTAATCACTAATCACTAGAGGGGGCTACTGCACCAAGTCTTGCTCTGCAGTTTCACAGTCATGTTACTATATCGTTTTGTCGCTATTGTAATTTTTTTTTTCAATTTTGTTAAGTTAGACATAACTCTAACTTAACAGCACTAGCAAATCAAGGAAACACACCTTTAACAAGGGCGGATTTTCATTTATTTTAAAGGAGGGGTGGAAAAATTTCTAGTGGGGTGCAAGCGGCACCACTGAGCGAGCTTCGGCAGGGGTTAGACGTTTGGGTTAAAGAGTTTCACACAAAATAGGAGGGGTGAAGCGAAATTTTGGTAGGGTTAAACACTTTATAAGAGGGGTTAGAGAAATTCTAGGGGGATTTAGGAGAGAGACACAACTTTAAAGAAGGAAGGAAACAACAATGACCAACAGGATACAGTGAGATTTCCAAGTGGATCCTCAGCAATTACGACAATAGGGTAAATTAGTTTTAAGTTTACAAAATAGGATCCCAGTATATAATTTTTCCTGCACTTTCTGATTAGCCATGCTACCTTTGCCTAAAATACCTCTTTAAGTTCATAGACATAACTTTCCATTGCTTCTTCCTTACTAGTGTCACCAAGTTTTGACCAAGCCTCCCTAGATAATGAACAGGGCATATGCAATCAGAAATACATTATTCAGCTATTAAAACCTCTGTACAAACAATACTGACCACTTTGCTTTATTAACTACATCCCAAAAGGAAGGTTTAACTTCATTGCAAGGTCCTTCTTTTGCTTGTTTGTAATAACCATAAAACTAATAATAAATGAAATTAGACAAAATATTATACAAAAAAGGGAGAAAAAAGAATGAGATCACTATAGTCTAAAGCAGGCAAAACAGTTCTTAACCGATTAAATTTTTAATGTTGAACACCTTCCTCTTGATGATCGAGAAATTGTCTGACTTATTAGACATACTGAGATTTCAATTAATATGTACAGTACTGTATTTATAAGGTTACACATCAACTCCAAAACGTTTCTTTTGGAAAAAGTAACAACATGTACACAAAGAAATAGTACCGTACATTGGTCAAGAAGCATATATCATCTGACAAACTAGCCTGCGCACAGTCTCAAACAATGTAAGAGACTGCGCAACAATGAAGCAAAGTTTGCCGCCAACCCGCACCCCAACCAGGTTTGGGGAAAATAATTTATGCAGGAAAATTAATATTACATTAATTATATGGAAATGTTCATATCTGCCAACATGGCACAAGGAATGTGAGTTCATTACACAGAAAGGTTTTTAGAAACAATTTGCATGGTATATTTCTACAAGTGAATATTGATTACATTTTAGTGATTGACTGATAATCGGTATCATCGGGCCGATTTTTGTCTTACCGGTAGACAATCAGAATTGGTAGAATTATCTTTATTTCCAATTGTTTAAAACCGATTGTTGAGAAAATACACACTTTAAAAATTATAAGCATTGCACATTGATACATGTTGTGTTTTAATGCAATACAGTATGTTAAATTAATGCACAGGGAAATTATCGTTAAAAAATCGACATGAATGACGTCACCTTTACTTGGTCGACTGATATATACAGTATTATGAAGTCATCATAAAATCAGCATCGGTATCAGATAGATTGTGGCATGAATAATCGGTAATTTCCACTAGTAGGATCTGTAATCCGGATAATAATTAGGGCACCGGTGCCAAATGTGGCCCATAAGGCCATACGAGAGAAAACTGTTAAGAGAGCATGGTTCTTCCATATTTGATGAATAAAAGTGTTTTGTTTTGATAAAATCGTAAATAGAATCGTGTATTTTCATGGAAATAAACCCAGGGTAACATATCCAGAGAAGTTAAAAACAGAATTGTGTGATTTACATTACATTGGCTGTCATCCCGGCTAAAACTAATAATAATATCTAGTAATTGCTTCAAAAATCTGCAAATTACATGTAAATTAATTTAAAGACATCGGGTTTTTCCTGATAGTACTTCTAAAGGTGCATGCTTATATGAACAGACAGTTGGACATCTTTTAAAACCAATATACATACAATTCTGTCTACTGTATGTAGATGAACTAAATGTGCAAATATCTCATCTTGAAAAATGATCTGTTTATTTGCTGTTTATGTTATATGCAGATATATCTTGCCCAACAGTATCTAGTCTAAACCGGCATTTTAGTTTGCAATTATCAAAATGAAGGCCGATGTTGTATATAATATAGGAAAATATGTTTGGCATATCGGAACAACAAAAGGGAAACAATTTGCGACTCCATTTCACTGTTCCGGGCAGAACTAATAAAAAAAGCATGACCGGAACCAGAACTCTGTTATTTTCAGAGAGATAGAACATCAAACGTTTTGTGTCTAACAAAAGTTCACAGTAGGAAGAAATTTGGATTACACAAGGAAAATATACACCATTAACACTTCATTATGATGTTTAACGTTTGTCAGTCTTTTTATTCTAACATTTGCGAGCTCTCTCCTTGATGACTTGAAGTGTCCGCCTGTCTGGCAGCAGACAAAGTAACATATGACTTTATATGCCCCTTGTCACATATTTTTCAATTCAGGCAAATTCAATTCAGGCAAAAATAGTTGAAGCCCCCTTTTCTCAGCCACCGCCCCCCTCCCCCTCCCATTATTAATGACCGGTCACTAACGAGGCAATAATTATGCATAATATTTTGTAAAGTATTCCACTTCTGCATTGTTTCATGGGCAACTGGTTTATTTTATAAAAATCTAACTTTAATTCAAAGTACAAGTCCTACTAGTACTAAGGTGAGTGGAAATTTAGTATATTGTTCAAAACATTGTCCAGCAGGAGATAATCTGCAACATGAATCCGTCTGTTTGTCAGTTATCAAAGTTCACACAGGCGGCACTGTCAGATGTCCATCAATATAAACTGATGAATAATTTATTAAGAACAAAGTTCAGTCACAGTTAATACTGAGTTACACTGTTACACTACATATCGATCATTTTAGATGCAATTTGCATAACTTTATAAACTTGAAGATAATTTTTAATGGCTTTACATTCTACATTCAGATGAAAGAATGTAGTATTTATATAATATCTTATTCTAAAATGCCAAAACACGTCTTACTTTTAACATCATTCCATGAGACGGTTGGAAAGAACCTACAATACAAAACGATTATATTAAATTGACATAAATTTCCTGGCGTAATAATACAATATTTATTCATAGTTTCAAACAAACTAACCAGATTTTGGCAATGATCGAATAACGTGAACAGCAGCATCAAATTTTCTCTGCGAATCCGCCATGGTTTTGCGATTTCTTTTGGTCATATCACTATTTATATGGTTTTGATTGACGAATATGTTTTCTCGCTCATGATGTCCCCCCGGGATATACAAAGTTTAGAGTGTATTTCAGGGGAAACCTCTGAGGGGAAACATAACTTGCAAATTGCATTATGAGGAAATCCACTGAACTATATAGGTTACTGTATCGACAAAATCGATTTTTGCATGTGATATCTCTGATGTGATATCATTGATATGTTATCCCCCGGAAAATAATGAATTTGAAATACTTCACAGGGGGGATGAACTTGCAAATTCAGACATCTGTAACCGGAAATTCGAATATATGGTGAAATACGTATCTTTCCCTCACGCGGAGAAATTTAATAGAAGAATACAACTCGTGTTCAAATCACGCCAGAAATTCACCTAGAAAAGATTGTCTTGTTTTTGTAAAAGGTATATTATTATTTTCTATACATTGCTCTATATTTCTTCGCTTTATCTACGCTATCACAAGGATGTTTTAGTGTATATGGCTCAAAAAAATATCTCCGAAAACATGTATTACAGTGGTAATAGATTGTAGAGTACATTAAATAAACCGCTCTAGGTTTTCCGTTTTGTAGTATCTTTTAGTAAGATCTGTTTTATTTTAGTCTGTATAACAAAGCAAAGTATACAAGAATGATCTATCCTTCATATATATAAGGATTAAGTTTCTTACCCAGCTTAAAATAGGGAGATCATTTTATCTATTTGCGTCTTGGGTTTGGTCCATTTAACTATTTTTCTCACTTTTTGCTATATAATCTTAAATTTGTGGTTTCCAATATAGACGTATTTAAGTATTGGTATTTCGGGGTTTAGGTGAAACCCAGATCGAGTGTTTTTGAGGAGTGGTACGTTTTTGATATCACAGCACTCAGTGAAATATCTAAATTTCTGGCTATATATTTATTGTGTTGAGTGTTGACTTGTTATATTGTAAACTAAACAGCTGAAGTGAAGATCTGTTTGTATTTTCAGTCAGCTGGAATTCTGCTTAATATCTTCTCAAATAACATGTTTGTTGAATATTAACCCATTTAAGTTACATTGCATCCCAATGTGCCCTATTTTTAATATTGTTTTGCTCTGTTTAACGCCAGATGGAGAGTGCTGGCCAGCGCTCAATGGGTTAAATTTAAGTTCACTTGAAGTTCAAATATTATTATAAAGTTTCATCAGATTTGGTTTTCTGATGTCAAACCTGTGGATACAAACCCGGGACAACCAGTGAGCTCCATACACTGTATATCTGGAGTGATAACTTGAGTCCAACATGAGGGAAATTGATGTCATTCCAGTCCCTTTGTATTGTTTTTGTCGAGGTTTTTGTCTGTGCGGTTCACACGAAGCTGGCAAGGAGTGTGCCAAAATTTCATATTTTGACATCAATTTAAAGAATAATACTATGGTTTGATAAAATGATCATTTGTTTAGCGACACAGTTGTTTACAACCTTCATATAGCTGTTGGACGTCAATTTCCTCCATCTTGGCTCAGGGCGCGAAATAATGGCTAGAGGGTCGCCAGTCAAGGTGACTGGCCAATTCAATTTTTGCTCGGACATACCGAATTTCTGGCAGGTCAAATTATTCAGCCTAAAGCAAAGCCTAGTAAAGTATACCCCTAAAAATGTGACTATTTTCCCAGCATAGCATTGCAAAAAACCTTACTGTAATCAGTAATTTTAAAACGTCCTTCACATAAAACAGCTTGCACTGCGCTAAAAGCATGGCCTTAACTCATGGCCATTGGCTTTGTGACGCACTGTGTGAGAAAGCTGCCGTAGCTACATTCGGAAATTCTTTTCTCGCAAAATATTCAACAATATGTTATGGTTCTTATTTATGATATACTTGACAACTTTATTTTGATTATTAATTAAAATGAAGATTAGTTTGTTCTTTTACCGAAAGTGAGCGGTCAAAATGACCGGCAAGGTAAGAATTTGACCTGACAACTCCGCATTCTGGCCGGACATTGTCCGTTGACCGGCCGTTATTTTGCGCCCTGTGGCTGAATGACTGAAGTTCTTAGTTGGCTGAATAACTGAAGTTCTCTAATTTGTATTTATGGAAAGGAGATTTGTCATGACATTTTATGTAAATCGCTTTTGGTTATGGCTATTCATTTGACTTCAAAACTTGACATGGAATTGGCAATTCTATCGGCAATTATTTTCATTGTTTTGTATCTGGTTTATATGTTAGTTGGTGAAGGATTTTGTTGTACTGCCTTTTTACTTTTGATAATTTGCTTGACAGAATTTACAATCATGTTATAAAACTCAAAACTGCATATATTTTATATGCCATCCCGAAATAACCTTAAAAAATCTTTTTGCCACTTCTTTTTCAGTTCCCTTGGGGGGTTGACAGTTTTATTTGTCCATTCCCATGGCAGGGAGGGTGAATTAAGACTCGGGATCATAATAGGTGCATTACAATATTGATTACAGTATATATAAATGTCTAGGAAGCACTTGTAAAAAAAACAGATTTTACCCTGTGATTGCACTTCTTCCAGGATTCCTTTGACCACTTCTTGTCTACCTTATTGCAAAACAGTCAATGTTTTTTTCCAAATGTGGATCATGTGATAACCTCTCCCCTATTGTAGAAAAAAACATCTGTCCTCTATCATAGAAAGTGTCTATGATTGCAGGATGGAATCTCTCATACAATAATCCTGAAGACAAAGCCTGGCCAGTCTTCAGACACATACAGTATAACCCATTAAGTTGCATTGCACCGGCCCTACTTTGTTATTTTACTCTGTCTAATGCTAGGCGATTTTACTTGTCAAGGGGACTGGCGCTCATTGGGTTAATCAGACTAGACATACATTAACCCATTAAGTTGTGTTGTGCTTTTTTATTTTACTCTGTCAAAACTCAAAAGCCAGATGATCTTAATTGTGTCAAGGGGAGAGCAACAGCGCTCAATTTGTTAAACACCAAAAGAAAAGTTCTGATAGAGTAGTAAGGTTCTGGCTAAAAGCAAGTTACTTCCTAGAATATCACTTTTAATTTGTCTTCTGTCTTTGATATTGGTTTTATCTGTAAAGAAAGAGCAGCATGGGAAATTGTAGCCTGCATGCTGCTTCAACCTGAAATGTTGTATTTAGTAAATTCGGGTTGAGGCTGCACACAGGCTAGGGAAATTGCACCATACTTAGTCTTATCTCTGTGGGCTGTTCTTATGGTAGTTTCATTTCGGCACTCTTGGGGAGCACTGTTGTACAGCTTGTCTAGATTTGTAAAGTGTCTAATGTCTTCTTTAAATTACCATACCTGTTGTTCTTTGACTTGATTGAAAAACAAATTGCATCACATGAATATATATTCAATGTCTATCTAAACAGTCTCTTATTGAAGATCTTTTAAAGAACTTTGTATAGTAGTTGGCTTATAAAACGTTTTCCTGAATTTTTTTGCTCCCATACTAAATTGGGAGTCTCTTATTGCTCATAAGGCATCTTTTTTTTCTTAATTTGGCATTTTTCACACCTCTCAAAACTATTTTCATGTATCTTTTAACCATATGCTAGTCCTTCCGTCCAGGCCTTGAATTTCCCTGAAATCAATCGACGGCAATGCCAATGGCGTTAAAAATTGCCGTAGAACGTAACAGCTGTCTAGGGCACTTCTGGCAGTTTCCACGGCATTTTTTCAAATTACTGTAATAAAAATTTTATTTTATTTTTACTTTGGATTGTTGACAAGCTAGAAACATGTTTACGTATTTTTCTTTTATAGTGTTTTTTTTCGAAGAAAACTGAGACTAAAATAGTAATTTACGCATGATTTGATCAACATCTGAATTCAAGTATATCAAAATAGTAATGCATGCACAGTGAATAGTATAAAAATTACACTATACGGCAAAAAATTGCCGTTGTTGCCGCAGTGATCCACGGTATTCTGTTCTCACTCTACTGCAATTGCCGCGATAAAATTCGAGCCCTGCCTTCCACAGAGGATTCTCTCCAACATCCTTTTATGTCTTTTGATCCAGATAGAAAACGCATCCCTCTTTATCTGTAATCACAGTTTAAGAGGAGATTTTTTTGTATGTTACGTAACACGCGCTCAAAACTAATGCATATAGGTTATGACTAAATTCAATTTTTTTTATTTTTCAATACGTTTCTCAATCGGCAAACAAACTTAAAAAATATGTTTAGTGCTTTATCTGTAAAATAATGCTAAAATGAAGAGATTTTAGATGGTACGCCAAAGAGAAAATGATGTCTGAAGTTCAGTAAGTTTTGCTTATATGGCTAATATGGCGTCAATTTTAAAGCATCATTGATAATTGTATTTTAATTGACAATTTTTAACTATTATTTTATGGTTTTCAACCGGCAGATGCATTTAAAAAGGTAGCTAACTCTATAAACTAGAGAATAAAGCTAAAACAAAGTAGCCTAATTTTGAGAGGAACGCCAAAAAGATTTTAGGTTTTGAACACTTTTCATTGCAAATACGTGACATTGAAAAAAATTGCCTCTTACTGTCGTTCCAATTGAAGTGTTGCTCAAATATTATTCAATACATTACCTCGGGCTGACCAATTCATTTGATCAAGTTCCTCGAGATATTCATACACTTCCTGTGAAAGAGCCAATTCCAAGTATTTGATCATTTCTGGTCACTTCCTTTCTATTTATAATTGGTTAGTTGCACAAACAACAAAGGTGATTGGTGCATTCAAACTATTCAACAGGAAGTTTACAATTATACTAGGAAGTGTATGAATATCTCGAGGAACTTGATCAAATGAATTGGTCAGCCCGAGGTAATGTATTGAATCAATATTTGAGCAACACTTCAATTGGAACGACAGTAATCTCTAATGACTTTGTTTGTTTTTTTTCTATTATCTTTGCAGTTCTTTACATTGTTCCTCTTCGTTATCTGGGGGTTTAGGTTTCAGTCCTTTATTGTTCCTTTCTTGCTATTTTCTCAATACCTGTTGTTTCTTTATTTTCGTGTCAGTTCTTGAAGTCTGATCTTTTTATCCCAGATTCCATTGTTCCCCTCTCCAGGTTTTTTTATTTATCCAAGACCACGTTTTTCTGCATTTCTCTGCTCCTATATCAGCAACTTTCTTATTCTTGCCACGACCTACAGTCCTACACTAACACAGACCTGCTGAGGTGTGCACACCTTAAACACCTTGTTTTCTAAGTTTTTCCACTACTCCTCCACATATACTGTACTGTAGGAGCAGGGTTAGGGTGATCGGAAAAAATTGGGTGATTTTCTCTAAATCTTAACCCTGACCCCCAGTGGTGTGACAAACTCAATAATTGGGGGGGGGTCAATATTCATATATTCGTGTTCACAGACCTTAAAAACAATGTTCAAAAATTTTGTGCGTATTGGACGTATGCTTTATACGATAAGCATACTCTAGGCACACGCTAAATACGCTAGAGGTACGCCAGGTTTACGGTACTCATACGCTGGCATTTCAAAGGATTTTTGTGCGTATGAAAATTATTTCGTTAATTTTCATACGCTTCTCATACGTTTCTCTCATACGCAATAGTGTGACAGGGCCTTTAGACTGACTCGATAGTCTGACTGACATGCAGCCATTTCGTTTCTTTGTTGTTTTGGTCAACTGTTGGACCAACATGTTGGGTGGTGTTGGACTGGTTTTGAATGGGTCTGACGCGATTCGACAACGCGACGCGATTTTTCGATTTTCACTGACCGATAACTTTGATCCTAGTTTAAATTTTCCAAATATTTAGAAGCGCTATAACATTTTGAGTTATTTGGTCTACATATCTCTCAAAATTTGCTCCCATTGGCTGTTTTATTAACTTTCAAAAACTAAAAAATCGCGTCGCGTTGCCGAATCGCGCCTGGTGTGTCTGGACCTTTATGCTGGTTTCAGTGCTGAGTGGAAGATTTTTATTTAGATAGTTGTATGAATCAAAAGAATCCCAAACCAACTCTTGGAGGACAGCGGATCAAGACCCGCAAAAGAGGTGAAGTCGATAACTTCCTTAAACAATAGTTTTATGTCAGTGTTATATATTTTTAATTTTGTAATATATTTTTGATGAATAAATAAATATTAACATCTTACTTACGTTTAGACGAAAAAGAAAAATACGATCCCTTAGGTTTTCGTGATTCTGTTATTACTGGCCTAGAAAAATCTGGAAATGATTTTGAAAATGTGAGTAAAAATTCCACACCAAATTATTTTGTGCATATTTATATGACACATTGCGGATTTGCCCATTGATTTTGTTTGTAAATAAACACTGCATGTAAGGACCTTTGGGAATTGGCTTCCAGGTTTTGAAGATCTCGTCTTGGCCTACACGTGCACCAAATTTCTTGAAACTTTGATAGCTTGTGCAAGACAGTCCATATTTTGACTCAGTGTGTGTGCAAGGCCTTTTTTTTTGGGGGGGGGGGGTAGTAACAGTTTTCTGGCTACTCCAAAAACGCTCGCATTTTAGTGCTAGATGTACCAGAGAACGTTAAAGTACATAGGCTTACTGAAAGTTTTCGCAAATGTCGCGCGCATCTGACTTTGGTGAACTTTTTCCAACTGTAGTTTTTTTATACACCCTGTATATGGGCATGGGTGGCAACCACTGAAAAGATGTATTATCATATATACAGATATATTGAACTGTCAGGCATGTTTTCAATTTACTTGTCTTTGTTATTCATTGTACTGTGTTATATTTCTTCACAGGTATCGGCATTCTTAGACAATCCCGGAAACAAACTGAATTACCATGCCTATGGTGAACAATTGTTTGAAATCCTCATTGCTGGTGGATTATTAGGTGACTATTTATTTTCCAAGATATTCAGAGAAACTTGACCATTATTGATTAGCTGCTTACTATTTCATACAGATGTACAATTTCTGATCGGTTGAAGAAGCCTGCCGTCTTCTAATCTCTCAAATTACACTACCTGTGATGGGAATGCTTACTGCTTTATATATGTAGCATACTATACATGCTTACTTGAACTTGATATTTTAAGACTTTATGAGCCATTCCTTGATTGGCATTAAGCGTGAGTGAAAGTACGATTTTCTACTTTTTTCTAAACACATTTTTTCGTTACAAAGCCCCTGGTGGCAGTATTATTTTAGAAGGTGAAAAGCCCAAAACTTCAATATGTGTGTTTGAAGCAAATGAAGACAGTGCGACTCTCAGGTCTTATGTTCAGGTAAGGATCTTTCAAGTTAAAAAACATATTCGATAATTCATACAGGAAAGAAAAACTGGCCTGGCGTGAATAAATACGAATCTGCACTATATTTAAAGGGACCTACTGTATTAAGTTTTCAAGTTTGGCTTTGTTTTTCTAGTTGTATCAAAAGCTTATTCGAAGGTTCAAATACCTTCAGAGATCATTTGACGAGGTCTTGGATAAGGTGGGTATATACTGTTTGCTGTGTTTGTGGTTGGATGTAAGCCTCGGTTAAACGAGGAGGGGGTTGATGAGTGTTGGTAGTCACGCATTGTTTCGGGGATATTTTAAGCTCTAGATTAACAAAATAAAGGTTTGTAAGTGTTCCAACTATGTTTTAACATATATTTGCTGTGTTGGTGTGGTGTACTCAGGTGAATAAGATGCTTGTGATGTTACTTGTGATGTTATGAGTGTATATCCACACCGGGCAGGCTTGAAAAATATGCCTGGCCACGGTGGGAATCGAACCTACGACCTTTGGAATATACCGGGTGGCGCAAAAAAAAGTACAACTGTTTGATTACTTGTAACTCAGAAACAATAAGCAGTAGAACCATAAATCGAGTTTAACTGCATCCAGCGATATCTAACTTAAATTTTGGTATATTTGACAGGCATATTCGTCCAAGATTAACTGAGATATAAGAGTTTAAACTTTTGTTAACAATTTTGAAACGGTCACAAATTAGCTAAAAATCAGTTTCATAGGCCGTTTTTAGCTAATTTGTGACCGTTTCAAATTTGCTAACAAAAGTTTAAACACTCATATCTCAGTCAATCTTGGACGAAAATGCCTGTCGAGTATACCAAAATTTAAGTTAGACATCGCTGGATGCAATGAAACTCGATGTTGGGTTCTACTGCTTATGGTCTTTGAGCTATATGTAATCAAACAGTTATACTTTTTTTTGCGCCACCCGGTATTATTATATTATTACAGGGCGCGAAATAACGGCTGGGGGGACGCCGGTCAAGGTGACCGGCCAACTCAATTTTAGTTTGGACATACCGTATTTCTGGCCGGTCGTATTATTCAGCTTAAAGCAAAGCCTAGTAAAGTATACCCCTAAAAATGACTATTTTCCCAGTATAGCATTACAAAAAGCCTTACTGTAATCAGTAATTAAAAACTCCTTCACATAAAACAACTTGCACTGCGCTAAAACAATGGCCTTAATTAACTCTTAAGCCAAAAGCATGGCCATGGGCTTTGTGACGTACTGCGTGGGAAAGCTGGCGTACATTGAAGTTCTTTTCCCGCAAGATATTGGATAACATGTTATGGTTCTTAATTATAATGCTTGACAACTTTGTTTTGATTATTAATTCAAATGAAGATTAGTTGTTTGTTCTTTTACCAAAAGTAACCGGTCAAAATGACCGACAAGGTAAGAATTTCACCGGACAATTCCGCATTCTGGCCGGACATTGTCCGTTGACCGGCCGTTATTTCGCGCCCTGTATTATTAGATTACACTGATATCGAAGGAACTAGACTCAGTTCCGAAATATCGCATACTCGAACCGACCTGACCGCGTAGCTCAGTTGGCAGAGCATTGGGCTAGTATTCCAAAGGTCGTAGGTTGGATTCCCACCGTGGCCAGGCATATTTTTCAAGCCTGCCCGGTGTGGATATACACTCAGAGTAACATCACAAGCATCACATGTTTTAACATAATATATAGAAGACAGAAGACATGATAGTGTTGGAAAAGCAATAAAAACAGCTAACCAAGGTTGCGTAACTGCCATGCACTCTCACCTCCTTTCATCCGCGCTGAAAGTTGTTACCAAGTTGTTTGATATTTCTTTAATATGATGTTGACAGATAATCGTTTTCATGAAAGGTTTTACTGAGGAACAGCGTATGAAACTTGCAACAGTTTACGCTATGATTCTTGCAAATAGTAAGTTCCTTAACAAATCTATTGAGTTATCTTGTATACAAATAATTTAAAAATAGAAATCAAATAAGTTAATACAATGTAACAGTCAATAAGATGAACATAACAACAGTATAGTATAATAGTTTGTTACATGGGGAATCATGCACTAATGACCACGTACAGTACATGTCTTGTACTCGTGTCCGGGTACTATTTCCCGAGGAAAATAAGAAGAAAAAATAAACAACATTCATGCACGCAACAGTGATTTCATTAATACAGTATTCATCGAAATTCGTGTGTGTTTTATCCAGTCAACTCAATTTATTTTACTTTACCATGAAGTTCACTGGTTTTATCAAAGACGCTCTTTTTGCACCAAATAATCTATTTTTTATTTTTTTATTCAAATAATTCAATAGAATTTTAATGAAGAACTTTTTATTAATAAAAGTTCTGTTCATTAAAATTCTATTGAATTATTTGAATAAAAAAATAAAAAAGTCCGAAGACCATAATGAAACTGGAACCAAACAATATTTTTTCTAAGCCCAAGTTAAGTAAGATTTGTCTTCTGCTATTGTGTAGGTATGACGCAAGGAACCTTCTTATCAAAACTTAGAAATGAACATTTGGTTAAAGAAGGTAAAGTTGTTCTGTCACGATATCAAAAAGAAGAAGAGCACTTCGACATGCCATGAGAAGTCTGTTCTTCCATAGGATAGACACCAGATGTGCCTTGCATGTGACAATTATGTTGCTGTCTGCTGGGCGAAGAGGATAACTTGCCCTGCACTCTACCCCCGCCCCCCACACACACACACTTGATAGGGTCACCTGCTAAAAATAGGGATGCCTGCTAAAAATAGGTACGCTTAGCGTACATGCGCCCGCTATCACTACGGTCAAGCATTATCTCTTGCAGTGAGCATTCATGTCCTTACGTGTGTTATAAAACAAGAACACAAAGATGGCGCGAGGGGCACTAGCAGTGATATATGGGCTGTATTTATTCACATTTTTACTGTTTGTTTATTTACTATTTACTTTACTATTTACTGGAAATAGCTTATGAATTTAAGACAAGTTCGACCAATAATAACAACAGTGATGTGGCTAAACATGTCAGCGTAAACAAGCGCAATTCGATGCCTCGTGCAATATGATCGAACCATTTATTGGCATTTCCGGTGAATCCCAAGCTAAGAGTGAGTTGAACAGATATCCTTTTTGGATTTGATCTAGTTCAGGGTTCCATACAGGCCTTAAAATATATTTTACAGGGCCGTCTGACAAAATGTCCGTTAAGTTTGGGTCAGACATATGTATGATGATGTCCGATGACCTTCAGTTCAGTTTGGCTCGGAAATAAGACTGCATGACACAAATTAATATCAGCACAATTTATTAATTCTGAACGGTAAATGTTATGAATGTATTAAATAATTTGTGTCATTGTTCATAATTATTTCCAAGCCAAAGTTAACATGCTTGCCAATAACAGCAGTTTCACAACTTCCACTTCAAATTTCCACTTCGCTCGCCGCCTTATGCTCAATTACATTAAAACAACATCAGAGAAATGTATAAAAGTATACATTTCTCTGATTCTCCATTTAATACACGAGCCTCTAGTCCTGGACTATGGTACATTTTGATTTACGTCGGACAAACAATAAACCTCAGTTTCACTTAGGTCGGACAGAATGTCCGGTGGTTTCCTCTCTACGTCGGACAAATTGCTGCTGTCTGAAGCATATATGACAGCGACCCCAGGGAAAAGGTTTCCCAAGCTGCCTGACTCTGCAGTATTGTATTGCAGATATTTAAAATAAATATTTTCTTTACAGGTATATCTCTTCAGTTCATAACAAGATTATTTCAAGCGTGGTTGAAAGAGAAAAAAGATGCAGCAAGTATTATTAGTACTTTGAAAAAGAATGAAATGGATGATAAGTTATTGGTTAGTAAATAGTATACTAGGACACTGAAACAATTTGAATTTTCAGTTCTTTTAATAAATATACAGTGACAAGGGGGGGGGGGGTGTAGCGACTTCCCCCGCCAATGTTTTTCAGAGTGTAGTTTTAGATACGTTCAATGCGGACGAATTGAACGTGTTGGGTTCATACTGTTAAAAAATGATGTATTAAGAACTTTACATTTTTCCCCAAGTGCATTCGCAGGAAACGCCGTTTCAGAGACCTAAAATTCATTTTCCCCCAGGGGATCATGCTGCCGGACCCCCTATAATTGTGACGTCACAAATTTTAAAGTCCCCCCCCCAAAAAAAAAGTCCTGGCGGCGTGGGGTTCGAGTCCTACAATACTTTACATGTATTTAAATTCGCGTGGTATTAGAATAGACTATTTTCGAATTACGCTCTAGTTGACAAGTGCAATAACGGGGCTTAGTGCTACGAACGAAGCCTCGTTCTCAGGTCGACCGTAATTCGGAAATGCCTTTTCGCGTAGACCATGCTGTAGGACGCGAAATTAAAACTGAGTGAAAAAATAACTGATATTCTATACTAACTAATAACCATATAATTTTCTAGGATTTTTTCCCTCCCAATAAAAGAACAAATGAGCAATTTGAAAAGCACTTTGTTGCAGCTGGTCTGCCAAAGCTGGTCGAATTTCAGGTGACGGTTTGAGATTTTTTCTTCATTGATGTTGTATTAGAAAGGCAGTAAGGTTTCATTGTGTTGTGTATTTTAATTGTTTGTTACATTTCATCTGTATTTCCCACAGAAAGCTCAACAACACGTCGGATCAAAGAAAGAGTTCCAGTCTCAATTATCTGAGATGATCGAAGCTAAAATGCCCTTAAAAGAAGTAAGCTTTTGTCCATCTTATACAGCTGAGGTTATAAATGAGAAGCAGATTAGCAATAAACTTGGAAATCTTTGTTCATAAATCTATACTGAGAAAAATATCGTGTGTGGTCATGTATCTGTCTAGAGTTGTAGAATACATTCGGCGTTTCTAAAGTTGTAATATACATTCGGCACTAGAGTTATAGGCTACATTCGGCGAGTTTGTAATATATTAAGAGGAGATTTTCAAATCGCCTATTTTTTCGCAAAAACGCTCAAATCAATGCGACCAGGCACAGTCCAGGATTATTACAGATGTCAAACCAAGTGTATGTCAAACATGATTTGCAGAAAGCGTAGTGTGGCAATCTTGCATTATAATGATTCATCCACACTCAGCCATTTTCGTTGTATTAAAGAAAATATTTCTTTGTGTAGATCATAGCAAACTGCATTGAACAGAAGGGAAAAGGTAGTACCTTGACAGAAGAACAAGTAATAGTTCTGGTAAGAAAATTGATCAAATGCAGATTTCCCAAAAGGGCGCTCTGATTTCTTAATTAATTTCGCCAGCAAATGCCAAGTATTCAAGCAGAAATTACACGTGCATTAGTTGCGCATGCATTAGTTGCGCATGCATTAGTTGCGCAATCAGTTCTAAGTATTCAGGCCGGAAAAGCACGACAAACGTTTGTATACATTTCTCGTCCAATTGTCATAGAAAATGAGCCAAAATTTTATCGAACAAACAAACAAACAAACAAACAAACAAACAAACAAACAAACAAACAAACAAACAAACAAACAAACAAACAAACAAACAGACAGACAGACAGACAGACAGACAGACAGACAGACAGACAGACAGACAGACAGACAGACAGACAGACAGACAGACAGACAAGCCAAAGTGAACACATAATCTTCTGTGGCTTGTTGTTCAAAGCTGGATTAGCGCTAAGCCGCTAATCTTGGGTTAAAATTTAACACGCTGTTTTGGTTTGTGTAATTTCTGCATGTTAGTTTGTTTCGAAACTTTTAAAAATAAAATTTCTTTTGATCCAGATATGATTTCTGGAAAAAATATCGCCAAGATGGATTATAAGCAAACTATTGGATAGTTAAAGGCACAGTTCAGACTAAAAAAACTAACTAGGAAAATCAATTAAGCATAATTCAAGATTAGCAAACTTAATGTTTTTAATATTTTAAAACATTTTTATTGTTTATTGTTAAAAACATTGAGTTTACTGATCTTGAATTATGTATAGTTGATTTTCCTAGTTAGTTTTTTCAATTAAAAGGGCTGAAATGCGCCTTAAAAACCATCATTCAAAAGGCTGAACTGTGCCTTAAACAAATATAAAACATTTTCCGTGTTGATATACAGTTGTATCAACACGAGTGGAAATTGCATGGGAAAACGAGAAATTGTATGGAAACACGATGCCCGGAGGGCGGAGTGTTTTCACACAATTTCGAGTTTTCCCAATTTCCACTCGTATTGATATTTAACAATTATTCGCCGAAGGCGAGGTGATTATCGGGGAATATTCGCCGAGACGAGTCACCGAGCATGAGGCGAATAATTGTTTTAGTATTTTTACTCAAGCTTTTGTGTTTTTTGAGACTGAATTTATTTTAATTTCGTTTATTTCTTTGTCAGTAAACTTCCACAAAACAGGTAGCCGCCATTTTGAAAATTTCTGTTTTGTTATATTCACCTGTAGGTGTATATAACAAAACTGTAGGTGAATATAACAGCTTATTACGTCAAATTTGACTAATCAACGTGTAGGATTTGTTATGTTCACTTGTGCAAAAATACTAAAACTGTATGTCAATACAGAAAAATGTTTTATATTTTTTATAATATAGCACAAAGAAATATAAAGATAATTACAAATTCCTAGAAATTTTCCGTGTTGACATTGAGTTATGACAACACGGCTCTTAGCCAATAAGTTTTCTGAATTTACAAATGCTATATTATAAATAGCTTTGAAGTTCTTTGGTAACCCAGGATTAAGCTAACCAGTTTTCGAACAACTAGCCCTGGCAGAGAAAATGAGACAGAAATCCATTATATACTCTTGTTAGACATCAATATTATTATTTATTTTCTCTCAAGACATGGAAAGCAGTAATGTCCTCTGTTGAATGGAACAAGAAAGAAGAGTTGGTAGCAGATCAAGCTCTTCGACATTTAAAGGTAGGTTGGTTTAGGTATAATTGAAGGATTTTGTAGATGGAAATTTCATGTGTAAATTTATACATTTATTTATACCTAAACATGCAGGAGTTGCTGCGAAAAATGCAACTATAGGCCCTCTAGCGCGGCCGCTGGTTCGATTCCTGCCAGAGTGCGGGCGCCTATAATCCATTTTTCGCAGCTGCTCGTGCATGTGTAAGGTCTAATTAAATATATAAATTTACTCTCAAAATTCAATCTACAAAATCCTTCACCATTAATGTTCAATCGAGTGAGATGCCCAAACTTCCTGATATTTAGATATGATTATCTTTATTCAGTTGCTTTCTGCCATAGCTGTTTGTTTAATAAGATGTGGCATGGACGTTTATTTGACACAGCTTTACCGTAATCACAATCTACAACAACAGAACATTTGACCACAGAGTAGATAAGACATACAGAGACGTAACTGACCGTTGTAAACACTGCGGAAGATTACGTTATCATGTACCCACTTTTTTTCAGGCGACCGGGCGAAAAATGATCAACTGCGCGTGCTCAGCAAGTTTAAAGTGAGTCGTCATCAGGTCGTCATCCAATCAGATGCATGCATCTAGTAACTTGCCGAGCATGCGCACAAAAAAAGTGGGTACACTAGTTACGTCTCTGTATGTCTCTACTCTGTGATTTGACTTACATTATGGATAATAAAATAAATGGATAGGACGTGACCTAATGTTTTCAATGGGCTGATGGCGTGGTTGGATGTTCAAACCTAGTTGCAAACCAAATTCTCAAAAACGGCATGTTTACCAATAATACAGCTAAACATTTTAGTCAAAGAGCAAATAAATATAACCACGCCATTCTACGATGAAAACTCTAAGTATTCCCAGTCAATTTTAGCAAATATTTCAAGCACTAAACAGTGAAAAATACATCGCAAATTTCGTTAAAACTTGTGACGCCAATTTCGTAGCTACAAATGGAGAAAAATACAAAACAAAGACGAAAAACATTTACCTTGAATACTTTGTCGTGGCTTAGGCATGTTTTTAAAACAATTAGACCAGTTTATGCTTCAATATCACCCTTTTAAAGTGGAAAATATAGCAAAACAACGAAAATGCCAAGAACTTTGGTAATATTCGCAATACGCGTGACGTCACGTTTTTCAACAAGGACACAGAATAGGAAGGTATAGCAGAAGCGTAACTCAAGCAAGTATTTGTCCGCGTTTTTACAAGCGATTCGTCATCAATCACGCCATCCTGGCTAGTACAACCGGCACTTTGTACCTACCAAAACCTGATAAAAACTTCCGGTTGTACTAGCCAGGATGGCGTGGATTGGCGTGAGCGAGTTAAAATTTTCCTGGACGTAAAACAATAAGGGAAACGACTAGAGTTACGCTTCTGCTACACCTTCTTATTCTGTGACAAGGATGAGGTCAATGACGTCAGGAAGTTTCCTATCCAGTTATTTTACAATACATGCTTACATGTAAAATTTGGGCACAATGTCTAATTTGGGCTAACATTGCATCCGCAGGATAATATACAACCCCCGATTCTTCTTTTCTAATAGTTTCTGTAGTGTAGAGCTGTGCGCTTCCAAAAATTTTATATCGGTTCCGGTTTTGGTTTTTTTGGAACAAAAAAACCTCGGTTCGGTTTCGCTTATTTTCAAAAAAAGAAGAACAGTACAAATGTATGAACTCATTTATGTATGTTTCGAGCATTTTTACTAAATAGATGAATTTATGCCTTTGTAAGTTTTTATAAATCTCTGAATATTTTAAAAGAACAATTGGAATTTATTTATGAAGATGAAATATTTCTTAGTTTTTAAAAAAACTTGAAGCAAGTGCACAACAATAACTATCACAACTAAAATATCAAATATTTGACCACTTAGTACAGTGCATATTGTGCACAAAGAGCACAATCTTGTTATTTTCCAAACATTTCAACCTGCAATCAGGTAGGCGTTTGGCGGGCGTTAAACGGGAAATTAAAACCGAAACTATAACCGGTTCTTTTGCGTATAATTTTTCGGTGCTGAAAAAAGTACCGGAAGAACCGAATTTTTTCGGTTAATCGCACAGCTCTACAGTGCAGTGTAAATTTCTTCCCACGTTTTTCCCTCAACATATATAGAGGATATTACACGACGGCGCGAATATATGACTTTCATCTTGGAGTGGTGAAACACGAGAAGATAAAAGTCATATCTTCAAACTACCGTGTAATGTTCTGTTTATTATATAGTTCCAGGCAAAAAATTGTGAAATTTCACGCTCAAAAGCAAATTGGAAAAAGTCACGTGATGAAAATATCTCACTGTGTATTTTTCAGTATCTCACTCTTTACTATATAATAATTAGGTATATGCTCCATTGCTCGCTGAATTTGCTACAACCAACACATCAGAATTCATACTGATGGTCAAAATTCAGGTACGTTTAACACTATGTAAAATCTTTCAAATAACTTTCTGGAGCCGGTTGTTCAGAAACTGGGTAAACGCTAACCTTTGATTAAAATTTAACCAGTTGTTTCATTTATGTATTTCCGCACGAATGTTTACTTCAAAACTTTATAGAAGAAACCTACTCAATCCAGGCAAGATTTCTGAAGACATATTTCCAAATTTTTCAACAAGCTGTTTGGAAGTTTTCTTTGAGTTTTAGGTTAACGTAGGGTTGGAACAACTGGCCCCGGAATAATATCTTTTAAAAATTTTAAATAATGCTACACCACGAGTAAACTTGGCAGTGTGTATTGTGACAGTTAGTGAACAGCTAAGAACAACAAAAACACTGAGGAGCTGATTAGTTTTTCTCTGCACGGACAATTTGACTACATAATAAACTAAACTTCAAATACCTGAAATTGTTAAGTTTTATCAATGTCCATGTAAATGGAGTGTATGTCCTTATACACTCGCAATTTTTCGACAGCTGGTTGCTCTCAAAGATCTTTGAAAAGTCTTTGAAAATAGGCAGAAAAAATCTTTGAAAGTCTTTGAATTTTTTTTATCTTGGACACTACGAACACCGCGGAAAAACGTCTGCGCATGCGTCAACCTTACCTGTAATAGTATTGCGAACTTGATGAGAATTGATGAGAAGCTGTTCCGAATGTTTCCGAAAGCTCAAAATGGCGGTAAAAAGGAGTGACTTCATTGTGCGTCTTTACAGCCAGATTTCGAGCGCAAAAATAAACATGTCATTCTAAAAACTAGGAATAAATACAGCCAGAAGGTTCAAGAAATTGTATTGTACAAGAACATGAACTAAAGGTGATTGTTGACAAATTTATCGTCTGAAACATTTTGTTTATCAACTAAGCAACGACAATTTCCGAATTTTCGTTTGAGATACATTTCTTTAAAAAAAACTGTGTCGCCAAATATAAAAAATTTTCGTGTTCACAATAATTAAACTTTAGGATTTATTCTACAATTTGAGTGGGTTAAGAAGCTTAACTTTTCGAGAGTTTTCTTAACTTTTTAGTTTGAATTTTTGTTTTGAATAATTTTGCAAAATTTTTCGAAGTCGTGTCCGTTAAAATCAACAATTTTTTACATGAATTATATTTCATTCCATACTTTAAATGCCAGGACGCTTTCAATTAATGTCTAGTCTACCCATTTGCTATATTTTCTCGTTTGTTTTACTAATTTTGACCAATTAATAAGCATGTTTTTGTTTTAGAAATTGATATTCAAATTCCCCGCCATATTTTCATAATTTGGTGCATGCGCAGACGTTTTTCCGCGGTGTTGACACTACGAACCCTGAGTATGCCTTCGCGATTGTGGTGCGCATGCTCCAGAGCGCCACACTGTAGAACTATGTCTGGTTTTCTTACCAGTCCAGAACATATATAACGTGTTAACTTCATGTTTTTTTTTCTGTCAGGAATATTGTTACGATAATATGAATTTTATGAAAGTATTTCAAAAAATAATCCTTCTCTTGTACAAAAGTAAGTTTTGTAATTGCACAATAACAATGTTAAATGCCCCATATAATCAGTTATTAATGTTGACTTTAATTAAATTGATTCATGTACTTGTTAGTACTATTTACAACATGAGCGGCCGTGTTGTATCGGATATACAAACTCGAACCGAAGGCGAGAGTTTGTATATCCGATACAACACGGACGCGAATGTTGTAAATAGCTTAAAAAACGACTCATCTTATGAGTTCATTGGCGAAGTAATTTTAAAAATAAACGTTGTCTAAGCCGAGAAAATCAAAGTTAAAGTTTATGTAAATCAACATGAATCTGTATCACGTATACAGACTCCTTCACACCCATGATTTCTTTTGTGTTTTCTTCATGAGTTATTAATGAGTTTTTTAATATCATTAAAAGTTTGTTTGATGGTTGTGTTTAGCTGATGTTCTCAGTGAAGATACCGTATTGAAATGGTACAAGGGAGATCATGCTGCCAAAGGCAAGAGTGTTTTCTTGGAACAAATGAAGAAAATGGTCGAATGGCTTCAAAGTGCCGAAGAAGGTAAATATGTATTTCGAATATTTACTTTCAGGCAACAAACAGAAAATCTTCATATGAAACGGTAGATTCGTTCTATGGATTCATTTTAGATTGGTATGTACAGAGAAATATCGGACCTCGGTCGTTTCGTACAAACCTCGCCCTACGGGCTCGGTCTGTACAAAAAAGACCTCGCTCCGATATTTCTCTGCACACACCTCGCATTAGTAATTTTCATTTAGTTGAATTTGCTTTATTTCATTTATACTTGAAACAAACAAGAAATGCATGATTTGAAATGCATATTAGTAGCGTGGAATGTATTCCTTCTTTTCTGCTAAAAACCATTCGCAGATATCTTATTAATAACAATTACTTTTGGTTTTTTTGTTTTAAAATGCATGGGGAAATAATGGACCGCTGAAAGTGCTTCTCAGCCAATCACAGTCCGCCATTTCACCGGAAGTGATGTTGCCATATGATTAATGCACGTATAAGTTTGAAATTAGATTTTCCCTGCTATCCATATTATGGATACCGACACAAAGCTGGTTTGGATTATCCAAACCGAAAAACTGATATCTAATTTTGGCATACATCTAAACTTGGAGGTTATGAAATATCCAAGAATTCCTTGGCATCCGAACAGATACCAAGTTTGTGGCAACTCGTATCGTCCAGACACCGCAAATCTCGAACAGGCTGTCAATAAAACAATTCCAATATTTTTGTTGCCGTTCAATGCATTTGCACGTTATTGCTTGCTTGTGAATGGACATATGAAAATGTCAGATAAAATTATACAGATTTGTTTCATTTCTCATAATATATATATGAAAACATTTCTCAATTCTGATTGGTTAAAAATTGTTTCGAAATACAGTGCAAATTTCATTGACTATTTAGGCTTTCTGATTGGCTTAAAATATGAAACAATAACAAAGATAGCCAACAAGATACACCAATTTCCAGTAGAAATAATAAAAAAAACCAAGCATTTAGGAGTATTTAGTAGATTTTCTTTGGCGTTTTTAGTAGATAGTTTGATAGTTTTGATAGTCTTTGAAAAAACTTACTCGTGCATGTTTTTTTCCAAATTGCACTCGAAACCATACTATTACCCATACAAATTGCATTCAGTCTTAGCTAGGGTGTTGTATTAGAAAGCTTGTGACACTCCAACCTCGTTCCCAGGCTTAAAGCCTGGCCTGGGAACGAAATTGGTGATACTCAATCCGATACTGTATAATCAAAGAGACCATGTATACGTAGAGATGAACAAAACAAATAAAATGGGAAATATTAATCATCTCTTAAATGGTAATGGACCTTTCTTATAATGACGTCAAAAAAACACTTACGCCCGTATTCTAAAAGCTCACACTCAATGAGTGGAGGTTCAATCTGAGCTTCTCTTGAGTGTTAATGCTGTTTTTGAATAGCTGGAGGGCTAGTGTCATACCTTACTCGGTGACCACTCACCCTCCAGCTATTCAAAAACAGCTTTGACACTCAAGAGAAGCTCAGATTGAACCTCCACTCATTGAGTGTGAGTGAGCTTTTAGAATACGGGCGATAATGCGATGTCCCAAGGGACAATTTTTAGCGACAATTCGCAATGCATGCAAATGATGTTTTTATGAAATTTATTGGCTCGCCCAACGACTTGCCCTGTACCATGGGACAAAATTGGTTTTCCGCGTTTGACGTCATTATAAGAAAGGTTTATTGGAACATTCTGACGCTCACAACCACAAATTTGCAGACAATAGTTTATTTGACATAACGAAAAGAAAAACAATGTCAGACCATATATATTTTTCTATTTCGTGCCCTGCTTGACAGAGTTGCAAAACCTGTTCAAATTTCCTCCGGGTAAAATTTAAAGTTTTCAAACCTTCCTCAAAATAAATTAAATAGATATGGTTTCATCAAATAGCAATGTACTAGAGTATATAAACTTAACTGATTCTGAAAGCCTAACACACAGTACATGCATAATAGTTTATACTTTGGACAAATTGGATAGTCCTTACCTACTATGTCTACATCCTATATCATATAATGATATTACTGTACTTGTGGTTTTGAAAGGCATTTGAGAGTGTTTAGGTCTTCAGACGTGTGACCCAATTGCCCAATTTCACAATCAGTGAGGCAGCGAATGCTCTCACTTGTTTCTGAGGCAAAGTGCTAAATTTAAACCAAGCCGTATAGTGCCCTGCATGACAGTTTATGGCAATGTTTGGAGTGGTTGAAAATCAATGGCAATGGCAATATATCTCTATACCAGATGCTGCCAATCCTGCAATATACTTATATAGTTTGTGGGAATTGACAGTGTAGGTATCAGGCATGTAAATAATGATTTCGATTATAGGACCTCAATGTATTGTTGATCTGTATTAAATATGTATGACAGCTACACAACTCAGTAATTAA